CCTCCTCCTCCTCCTCCTCCGCCTCCTCCCCCTTTGTCCCTTTTCTCGATTCTCTTTCCCGTAACTCCCGTAACACTCGATGATCCAAAAAGATCGTCGTACGCGCGTCGCGTATCCGATGGTACGATGCTTCTTCCGAGTCTCGTCTCGTTCTTCCCTCTCCCTCTCTCTCGCTCTCTCTCTTCAGCTCCTCCTCCCTCTTCTCGTTCCTCTGGTCTGCATTTGCGTTGATACGTACGTCGTGTTTGTATATACGCGTACACGTGTGTGCCTGTCTGTGTGTGTGTGCGTGCGTGTGTATGCGCTCGGGTGTGCGCGCGTGTGTGCGTGTGTGTGTGTGCGTGCGTGCGTGCGTGTATGTGCCCGATGAATCGATGCGCGCGCGAATGGACGTCCTCCGTGCGTTTAGCGGAGAACACCCTATTTCTTTGTTCTATCTAACTTAAAGTCTATCATATACACTTAAGTTCAGGTTAAAATTCAGGATTGCCCAGCCCGGACGGTGTGAACGAGGAAGGACAGTCCGTGCAGACGCGAGATTCACGATTGTTGGTCGAAGACTTGATCACTTGAATTAGAAGATTGCGTTGGTGAGATGTCCGCCGGGTGAGAAATCGCACTCGCGGATGACACTGCTCGTCCCGTTTTGCCCTGAGTAGTTAGTAGCCCCGTAATGTCGTTGTGCGTGTGTGTGCGTGTGTGTGCGTGCGTGTGTTGCGAACGTGCAAGCCCTTTTCTCCTTTCCTTTTTTTTCCCTCCCTCCTCTCTATCTCTTTCTCTCTCTCTCTCTCTCTTCCTTTTCTTCTTTCCCTCCCGAAACCTTTTGGAAAAGGGACTCGCGCGTCGGCCGTGCGATACGTCGTCGTGTGAGATGATTTCTTTGAACCGGGACGGCAGTTTTTCACCTCCTCGTGGGGATTTCGTTCACTCCGTTCGTAACACCTGTGTCGAGTCTCGAAGATTTCGACATTCGATTCTTCTTCTTCTTCTTCTTCTTCTTCTATCTTCGCGTCGATCCTTCGTCCTTTTTGTTTCTCCCTTTCTCTTTTTTTTTCCTTCGCGTCTGTTCACGACTGCTCCTCGAAATGCGACTCTAGGGTTTTTTTTTTTTTTTTAACTCTTTAAAAGGAATTCTATTCGATTATCGATTAACCGCTCGTCGTTACCGATATCGTCGATGGTAGTTGTGGTTGCTTCTTATTATCGTTTAGGTTTAATAATATTGCACTTAGGTACACTCGTTTTTTGAACACACTGAAATATATATGTATGCGGCGCGAGGTTCTTCTCTAACGAGCTTCTTCTCCTTCTTCTTCTTCTTCTTCTTCTTCTTCTACCGATTTCTCACTCGCTTCTTTTCTTCTTTCACACTTTCTTCCTCCTCTTCTTCGTCTTCTTCTTCTTCTTCTTCGGATCTTTTTCCTCTTCCTCTCTTCTCGTTCTTCTCTCTTGTTCTCTCTTGTTTTTTTTCACGCACTCTTTCTCTCCTCTGCTCCCTCTTTCTCTCTCTCTCTCTCTCTTTCTCTCGCTCTTTCTCTCTCTCTCTCTCTCTCTTCGCTATCAAATCACTTCCGTCGCAACCCCGCTTCTACGCGTCTCGCTTTCGCTCTTCTATTACTCCTGCGTTCCTCCGCTTCTTCTGCTTTGCTCGTCTTATTCTGCTTCTTCCGCTTTGTCCAGTCTTCCTCTCCTGCGCGGGAATCTCTTGCTGCAACGCGTCTCCCGCTCGAAGCTGCAATTCAGAAAAGAAAAAAAAAACTCTATCTTTATGCCGGCCACGTTTTCTCACGAACATGTTTAAACACAACATGGAGGTGGTACGCGTGCAGTCCATCCTTCCGCGCACTACACGCGTAATAATAATAACAATTCGCGATATCGATCTTCGACACGTTCATGAATCACGATCGAAAATCACGAGCATGCAACTGGGTTATCCAGTACGTATCCAAATATATTATGCTACGAACAACATTCAGGCATTCTACGAAAAAAACGTTAGATTCGTTGTTGTGCACCACTCGAGAACACGTTTTTCGTCACTCGCGACGATCACGACGACGACGACGAGGACGATGATTGTTCGTTCGTCGATTTCCATATAATATAATATAACTCGATGTATCGGCGACACGTTTCTTTTCTTTCGTTCGACGAAAGGAAACGAGACGTCGTGGATGGAAAGGAGGAAGAAGAAGAAGAAGAAGATGATGATGATGATGATGATTTTGGATTTTTCGTACCCTCTCGAATAAAACTCGAACACGTCGGGATTAATGAAGAGAGACACGTGAGTCGAGGAACGTTTTCCGCCGTCGCGTCACGCGTTGAACCACCGATCCATGTAAATTCGTAAATGAAAAAAAAGAGAGAGAGAGAGAGAGAGAGATCGTACACGTATCTTTCAAACAAACGATTCAAACGATGAATTCGCGTCCCGCTATCTTTGTGTATCCGTTTCCGTTTTACGAGGGAAGAGGAGAAAGAAAGAAAGAAAGAAAGAAAGAAAGAAGGAAAGAAAGAAGGAAAGAAAGAAAGAAAGGAAAAACGCGAGCAAAGGAAATAAAAGAATCACGATCGTTTTTAATTAATCCGTTTTGTATCGCATTCCTCGCGAGCACTCGTGTTTTTCACAACGAAACAGTAGGAAAACACTGGTCTTTTTTTGCGGTTTAAACCATCCATCCATCCATCCATCCATTAGCGATTCAATGAGTCCTTTGCACGTTTCCCTCTCGTTTACGGGAATTAATTAATCCGATAAAAACGAGTTGCACGCGATTACGGACGTCCGGTTGCTAATTTATTCTATCGCGTTTTTTTTTCTTTTTTTTTCTTTCTTTTCCCTCTCTATCTCGCCGAAATGAAACGGATCGACGCGTCGACGCGCCGTCGAGGAATCGTTGGAAAAAGCTGTGCACACGATGTCCGAGTCACACGTCTTCGAATGAAAAACGATGGAAAACGAAACGTAGGAAAATTGTGGAAGAAACGGTTTTTCTGATCACCTTCCAAAGAGTCATCGGCATCGTTCGCGGCATCGATAGTTCGTTTCGCGTAGCGTTTTCACTCGTGTTTGGACGTTCGCGACGTGCAGCTGGCAGATGGAAAGTTCGTGAAAATGTCGTGGTTGAACATTGTCGGGATTGAACGGCACACCAACCCCACGTCCCGACCATTCCTCGTCGATCCGTGTTCTCTCGTTCCTTGGAACGACGAGACGATCTTAACAAGCCACTCCATCTCCGCCCTTAAGATACGGGGGGATTAAGAAAGGATCGAGCCGTCCACGATCGCGACGAAACACTGGAGACGACGATGACGTCTGTACCGGGCATGTCAGGGAAGCGGAATGGAGGGGGTGGATCAACGGTGGTTGGCCGAAAGAGGGGAAAACTGACCAAAATCACGGTGGAAAAAAAAAAGTAAACGATATCGGGGGATATCCCCCCTCGTGTGCGTGTTCACGTATCCCCCCGACGTGCGTGCGCGAGGAACGATGGCTCACTCGTCTCACCGAGTCACCGCGAACGCCAACGCAACCGACCACTGGGAGAACAACACCGCGGAACAAGAAGCGTGTCGCGATCACGCGACAGACAAATCGATGAAAAAGTCCAAATGATCCCTTACTGGTTCCGATCGGAGGATCGGACGTGGTGCGAAGAAGAGCGGCGCGTCGAATCGCGGTAGCCGTGATCGAGGAGGAGAGCGATCGCGTTGCACGCACTTCCGATCGACTTCTGTCTTCCAACCGTCCAAGCGAAGCGTGTCCGAACTAGCAAGATGTGGCGAAGATGTGTTCCCGTTGGATGTCCACTACGTTCCCGTGTACCAGTGGCGAAGGCGAAGGAACACCACGACGACGACCACGACGACGACGACGACGACGACGACGACGACGACGATGACTACGACGACGACGACGACGACGACGACGACGACGACGACGACGACGGCGACGACGACGACGACGACGACGGCGACGACGACGACGACGACGACGGCGACGACGACGACGACGACGACGGCGACGACGACGACGACGACGACGGCGACGACGACGACGACGACGACGGCGACGACGACGACGACGACGACGGCGACGACGACGACGACGACGACGGCGACGACGACGACGACGACGACGGCGACGACGACGACGACGACGACGGCGACGACGACGACGACGACGACGGCGACGACGACGACGACGACGACGGCGACGACGACGACGACGACGACGGCGACGACGACGACGACGACGACGGCGACGACGACGACGACGACGACGGCGACGACGACGACGACGACGACGGCGACGACGACGACGACGACGACGGCGACGACGACGACGACGACGACGGCGACGACGACGACGACGACGACGGCGACGACGACGACGACGACGACGGCGACGACGACGACGACGACGACGGCGACGACGACGACGACGACGACGGCGACGACGACGACGACGACGACGGCGACGACGACGACGACGACGACGGCGACGACGACGACGACGACGACGGCGACGACGACGACGACGACGACGATGTCGACGTCTTTTACGCCGATGGGGGTAGATTTGCAAAGGGGTGAGAAAGAGAGCGGAGCGTTCTTCTCCCTTTTTCTCCCTCCCTTCCCTTCCCTCTCTCTCTCTCTCTCTCTCTCTCTCTCTCTCTCTCCTTCTTTCCCTTTTTCTCCCCGTTTCCGTTTCCTTCTCCTCCTCCTCCTCCTCCTCCTCCTCCTTCGTCCACCACCTCTGTCCTCCCTCTCGAGGAGATAACCCTCGAGGAGGAGAAGGGTGCAAGATCATCCTTCTCCGCGTATACCTGGATCGCCGATCCGACCACCCTCCGTCTCGAACTCGCCGTCTCCTCGAACGCCAACATAAACACGCGCCTACTTTTCTTCGCCTGCTTCGAATTTCGGGGAGGGAGATTCGGCCTTGAAACTTTCCTCCTCGCAACGAAC